CGTTGCTACGAATCATGGGGTAAATGAAAAGACTGAGCAAAGAAAGTTGGGCAACGATTAGCAAAACTACAAGAAAATAGTATCTTAATCGATATGGAGCATCACTGCTGTAAGATGCGTTAGAATGTAATAAATTAACAACACATCCATTTGGACTAGCAGTATAGTCGGAAGGAATGACGGACATCAATACCACTCCTATCGCAGCTAGAGACAAGACAACCAACGTCACCCAGCCAAAGACAGTTACACATTTTCCTGCCAATCTCTTCATTGCTGGGTGACCGTAAAGCGCTTTCTGTCGAAACCACAAAAATAAATATATCGGATATAGCGCCATAAAATAAGTGACGTTTCCTATATCCAAAAGAACTTCACACCATCGCAACGCACCATTGATATATACCGCACTAAATATAATCTGGTCCGCAATATATCTTGGAATAGATGCCGTTACGGCAATTACAGATGCGATGTAAACCATGCCACCATTCATGTCGGATCTTTTGCTCTTCTTCGCCCATTTCTTGGTTCTGACGCCGTACATGACCAGACAAAGTAAAATCCATAGCGTGACAACCATTAGACATCCATTGATAACTTGACAAACGATGTAAATTGTATGATCAGTACGTTGTTCCACATTATCACTATCGGTAACAAGTGTAAAGGTTGAAGTATTCATTATCTATCGAAAAATCTGTTTTAGAATACGAGATGAAAAAATAAATTAAACATTGTAATCGCGGCCAATGTTATGCTGGATCTCTCGAATTTTCGAGCACACTTCAACATTATCTCACAAGAAGTTGCAACTACTTTACGTGTTACGAAGCTCGAGTGATTGAACCCATGGACTATATAGGATAGGATTTGCATATTTATCCCGGGGGAGCGGGTAAGCCGATAGAACAGCTTATTCATATGGGACACCACGATTTCTTGTCTGGTTACCAGTTCATGTCGGGTATGGTAGTAGCCAGTTATTTCTCCCAGATACATGGACATGATGGTGGAGGAAGCAGTACACATCAACGGTTACGTGAACCACCCTACGACGTGAAGAGTCCAGCAATCCTCTCGCACATAACTTTCCCCAGTGGATGCGAATATATTCCTGAGCTGTCGTTCAGTAAAACATATCTGCGCATATCAAGCGCACTCATTCATAGAAAGGTATTTATCTAATAATCGTTGAATGGTTTCTGATCTCGATAATAAGAAATTTTAAAAATAAAGCAGCACTCCATTTGCCTATCCACGCAAACGGTGAAATGTAATTTCGTTACACAATAAAAACTGTGGATCATGAAAATTCCATTAATTGAGAAAATCAATCTGAAGTATTGCATAAAATAACTGTCACATATAATGAATTACTGCGTTTTCCCTCATTTGGACATGCACTAAGGGTAGACTCAACTTAAGCTAAACAACTCACACTTCGAATTATCTCATATTTATCTCTGGTATAGAATATAATGAATAAACACTAACCTGTCACCTCTACGACCTCGTCAATTAGACACAAACTTTGCGGAGTCAGAATCTAAAATACCACTTAAAAAATATAATTTCTCTGTTACTCATATTTATCATATGAATATGACGCCTACCTCATTTTTTGGTACAGCTGACTTTTTGCAGCCCATTCACTATACTTCTAAGAAATAAAGATATTCTTAGGTAAGTCATATAATATGTAGGTTATAGGTAATTGAAAAATCTATTGCAGATGGGCACTACTTGATGGTCCTATAATTGACTGGAAATCCATGCAACGCTGATATCGCTCGATTCAGGTACACTCGCCATTATGAAATATACAATAAATTTACACAACTTTTACGAGGTTATTTCAAAATTATTGTTAAAAATTTAGTAATTCATGTATAAAGTTTAAATATCAGTTATACTTATTTACTTTCACACATTTAATAAACTTCTCGGTAATTTTCGTGGTAGATTTCAAATTTTGTTGCACCTGTGCTCAATTTAATACATTTCAAATCCCCGGACAAGGGGTCGCATTAATCACAACGAATTCATTGATAAAATTTGATAACACAGTATTAATGCATACTGTCTTAGTCTTGAAAGTGTTTACAAATTAGCCAAATATATCAAGAATCTATATATGTATAACGTATTCCGAATACAAAAAATACCTCTTCTGAATGAGGTACCACATTTAAAAACCGACTCAAGTACTAAACCTAAAAATGACGAAGCGCGAGGTGATGATCATTTCATACACATTTGATTCTCACCAAAATTATACTATCTCTCGTTCTCATCATTAGAAGTTGAATTCTCTCGTTATATAAACATCATTTTTACCAACAAACTAAAAATTGTTAACTTATTGCTCAACGCAACACGATGTATATCTGTATACTGCACCGTACTGCTTAGATGGGCCATTCCAGGCAAAAGTTAAATTCCTTAAAACTTTTAAAAAGTGTAGTGAAAGTAATTTATTTTCATTTTTGATATCAAAAGACATTGGAATTTTATTGGACTGCATTCATTTCATCGAACAATTTAAGATTTCACCCAGGTTTTTGATGGTTTATAAAAAAATGGCCTGAAATGTAGAAATTTTGGTATAATTGACATATTTTGTGGTGATTCCTGACACAAAGTGTTTGATTGTGTGGTACAGTTATTTCATATGGAATTGACGCACTGGATTTAAGTTAATAAAGTTTAAATGTTTGCAGTGCTGTAGGACATTTTTTCACCCATTTAACGATTTATTACCAGAATTTTAAGAGATGATGGAGGCCGCTATTCCGAAGTGGAAAAATGTCCTGTAGTGTCACGTCCTGTAGTGTCACATACAATATGCACATTATTGGAATGGATTTTCAGTGTTACATTAAGTAACTTGAGCAACACATAGAGGGGTAGTTCAGCTACTGCACCAGAAAATATTATGGTCTCCTACAGTACCATCGCAAAAATTTACAGCACAACACAACGTACTGTTAGTGCATGGTTGATTTGCCGTCCTGTAGTGTCACGCTATATTTTACTATATTTTTTTTATCTAAGTAAGTAAGGTTAACTAAGTAAGGTTGGGTGTAACTTTTGTGCAAGCAACTGATTGGACAATGAAACAAAACATGTAGCTGAAAATGGGAAAATATATCGAATTTAACAACATGCAAAATTTCTGAAATTGTCCTGTAGTGACACTTGGAATAGCCCAGATTGATTGAAATTAAGCTAAACAAAGTCTCAAACGCCGGTGCAAATCTTGGAAACTTTCGTCTATAAAGCGTTAAAAAAATTGGTAAATCAACTTCAATTTAACAGTATTATCCATTATTAAATTTTGAATAGAATTAATTTCTGAGACTAAAGACGCGCATTTATAAATTCTCGCTGTAGAATGGTTTTATTTGAGACAAAATGTTGGTAAGTAAAGTACAATTTGTTTGCAATATTCTGTAAGCTAATTCCAAATCACTCAGGTTATCACGACGCGGTGCGACTTTGCTATGTTGTTTTAAGTCTGGTCCGAACTTAATTTGGGATAATTTAGTGGAAGATTAATTGTTTGTCGTAGAACTCTTGATATGTGAAAAATTGATATGACAGTTGTTATATAAATTCGAAACAACTAAGTTGATATCGTTTCAACGGCATTTCAAATGTAACCAAAGTTGGAAATATTTAAAAGTATTGTGTGGCACAACATGATTTCACTTTCGGTACACTACACGCACCTCATATCATAACAGATGCGTTCAAATCACATGGATTTGGAGTTGGAACTTGAAAATTAAGTATATTGCTTATAATCATCTTTCAGCATGTATTATACTGACCAACGGCATTTTGGTTGAATATAAATATCAGCAACTCGTTATAACCAGCCTTGCGATACACGTATTCAAATCGACAGCGCGGCTTGTCTGATTTGTGATGACGCATTAGTTATTGACCTGTGGGAGTAAACCATAATTAAATAAATGCATCGTGAGGTATCATAAGACCTGCAACAAGTATCAAAGATCATTTTCACATTTTGCAAAAATTGTGTCACAAATATTTAGTTCAGAGTTATTGGCGGGTTTTTCTGTTGAGTTATTGGCCAACGATAGCAATATTTTCGATGGAGATTGTCCTGATAATTTCTTATGAAATCGCGATAGACGTATTTCCCACTAAAATCAAACACAACGAAGCTAACCTATCGTGCTTATTCTGGAACACGTGGTTTCCAGCGCTGCCACTTTACATGTTTTATAACTAGATCCAGATGTTTTGTTTGAGATCTAGATGTAAAATTTGGATTCTAGATGTTAGCTATAAAATCTAGATATATTTTTTTTCAACGTTCTAAATATTATCCGGTAGGAAATAAGAAAGCGATGTGTATAATTACTAAACGAATAGTGTTTAGAATTAGATGTAAAGTTGATAAAACTAATCATATGTCTGATATGAAACCCAAGGGATTTTTATCACAAAACTGAAGAGAGCAATGTATATATCTGTTTAAACTTTAAATTTGATTTTTTTCTTCTTATATTTTTCAAATTATTATTTCTACAGTGTGTGCAGTTGACAAATTAGCCTACAGCTACACCAGTTTGCCGTATAGCATCACACCGATGTGAGGCGTATTTCAATACAAAAAAATAAACCCTTGTTTCAAGTGTGACTGACGATGACAACAGTGACTGGTTGGTGTTTGCTGTGGTACCGGTTGTACGCAATAAGAGATGCCACTCTTCCTTGCGCTTCAAGGCACATTTATCTATCTAATACATTTGATACCTAAAATGTAATACATCACTGGTTTGTTTGGGACTACGTTCAGAGTAAGTGACAAATGATATGGAGCATAGTAAGATCAACGGGCCTTTTCAAGTTAAAATCTTAATTATTTATATATTATTCAATGTAATAATATTCGCTAGCACCTCTATCCGCTTTCGCCGTACGAACACGTTTTGTGTGCAAATATAATAAAACAATCAATGTATATATCAGCAATGACAGGATCTCTTAAATTCAATGCTCGCACAAAAAGATCAAATTACAACATTTTTGTATCACGATAATCAAAACTATTATTGCACGTAATTATATATTGTGGCAAACAGAAAATATATGATAAAATCAACGGAGAAGGTATCGGAGTGATATATTATCGAGAGTGAAGAGTATGCAATCAGTATTTTGGAGTCAAGACTTGTCGTGCTCATGTCCTTGTCCAACGCCCAGTATTTTTCCAACACCCTGAAAGATGTAATTTTTTTATACGAATAGTTAAATAGGAGATAAAGAAGTTGTTTGTCTACCTTCATTCAAAAAAAAATATGGGTTATGGTTCAGTATCGTTGGTACAATCATGATAAAACTATTTCGCTTTATCCATTAGCGAACAACGCATGGCATTAAGACTCCACTTGCTTTATTGTTCACTAAAATGAAGGAGGCGAACTAACCTGACTTTTGCCGTGATCAAACCCACTTTCTCTTTCTAGCTTTACCATTTCCCGTGGTCTTACTACTACTGTCATTGCTCTTCTTGGGTGCGATGTAGAATTTCCCCTTGTATAATGAATAGTTCTTCCGTGATGGAGCGTGCAGCTACCGGGTGGTATCGGTACAGCTACAAATTCATTCTGGGTGGCGTAAATATAAACATTTACGTTAAATCCAGTCATCGAGGTTATAACAAAATATATACTACACTCAAGTATTTAGTGTCAACGCAAATTAATTGTATTAAATAAAATTATTCCGAAGACTTCGTAGTATGTGGTCATAAGTTTAGTTTTAGAATAAATAAAAACCTCGTTGGCATCGCAACTCAGACTATGATGTCCTAATTGAACTGGTTGATGTGAACGGAGTGGCTTCTTATGGGAACCAGGGACAAACTGCATGCATCCGTTGTCTTCAGTAGCATTATCCAACGATAACCAAAAAGATATTGCTCGTTTGTCAGGAAGATTTGGCCAGTATGACTCATCTTGGTGCCACGGCATTATGGTGTCTGTGTGTGGGGCCTGAAATGGAGAAAATGTTCATTCATTCACAAATTAATTTTAAGTAGTGCTCTACAAAAAGACTCGTTGTAATTGTGAGTGTGAAAGTAATCTTGTTCTCGATATTATACAACCTACCTTTGAAATCATCATATCAAAATCAAATTCCATATCTTCTCCAAAAATCACTTGCGCGCACTTGATTGCTCTCCTATGATAAGGTCCCTGCAGAAGGTTTTCTACAAAGAGTGACGGCCACATTATCTGACAAATGTTTTCTGTGTTCTTCACCTAGAATAATTTTTCATTGATCACTGTTTGTATCAAATAAATAAAACTTTATATTGCATGTGAGGTAGCTACAGTTTGGCTGTATATTTGCGATGATGCCGCAGGTGGGAAATTTTAAATTTGGTTGAAAATAACGCTACAGAAAATCGGGACAACTCTCTGCATGAGTGGGTCCAGCACTCAACAAGGTCAATATAAATTTTATCATCAAAGTTTTAAGAAAATTACAATAAAGATAGCTAAGTATGTTAGAATATAAATCGACCTAAGCTATATATGTTTAAATACCGCAAATATGTATTCGCGCTCTATAAGGTATGCCTATTATCACACCGCTGAAAGCTTTCTCATACTACTTGCACTAAAGTCGAAAATCTAACTTTACCTTTTGATCTAAGTGATTACCAAGATCGTGTCGATGAGTAGCGGCATCGATTTCTCCCGATAAAAGTTGATCATAAACATTCCGGTATGTTTCCAGTTCCTCATTATTAAGAATATCTTTGATTCTCTGGAAACATATACGAATATGAAGATCTATAACGTTTACACTGTATTTAATATTGTCGATGACTACGCGATTACAATTCGATATGTAATGTGTTTAAATTGATTCATCAATCGACCATGTCCATGAACTGGGAATTTTTAACTGGCTGCTTTTTTCAATGCCGCGATATACACATTCCATTGATAACTCAGATCGGTGTTGTACCAAGTATGAAGCAATTCCGTATGGTTTTATCTACAAAATAAATTCGAATATTCTGCTTTGATACTAGAGCATACCATATATCCTTCTTCTTCAAATTTTGTTTTCCAATCTGACGTGTTTCGTGTCTTCAACCATTCTTCTGGAGATAGTGAGTTTTCCCAATTGACAGTGGTTCTCACCATATTCACTATTTCTGTTATTGCGTAAGATACTTAAGGATTGAGAAGTCTAAGAGAACCATCATTACGGTTATGGCCTTTCGTTAATAACCTACATTATATATATCTAATCCACAAATTTTCGACCTCCACTTTCCCACATTTAATTGTCGCATGACTCCCAAGATCAAAACTGCCAATGAAATCGGTAACCTATATCAGTAGGTCTCAGACCTCAAAATTCTGTTCATTTCGCCGAGGGCAAATTTAGCTTGAGATATGCTTTACCTTTCAGTATCGTGATGCTATTCATACAATTCACTCTGCAAAATAAAGGTTAAAACTGAACTTTATCGGAGTAGAAGACATTGAACAAATTATATCATTTCACTGTTCAGAAACAAATGCGGCACGTCAGAAAATTGCAAGCCCATAGTGCAAACAACCGAATCATTTTGTCATAGCATGTCATGCTATGGAATATTGACCAAGTTAAAATGCGTTCATGCTAGGCATGGTCAACAAAAAAAAGTCTCAGACAGTTTCACGTTTCTCCAACAGCTTCAGATTAAAGTCAGTAAAGTATATATATGTTATATTGCGGACTAAGGATGTAGAAGTAATTGTCAAATGCGTCAGGGGAAACTTTACGTTGCTATTGCCTTTGTTTTCGCCCAGTTCGGTAGTCGTATACCCCTTGTTTCAACGTTCGGTTTGGTTAATGATTAAACGACATTTGTTTTGTAAAACTAGATAATAATTTAAATATATTTTTTAAATGTTCAGATGTCAAACTTCCACTATTTATTTATCTACCTATGATTTGACGAGCCGAATCTAAGCCCCCAGATTTCATATCGGTGGCAGCTACAACAATCATAAAGTTCATGATTATTATCGTATCTTGCACCACTGTCACTTTTATCTTATCAAAGAGCCATGCTAACTTTTTTGATCAATCTTCAATTCTACCGGGAACCTTTGACATACACGTCAATATTCAGAATGTGATCCGCCACAAGCCACATATTATTACCCCTCGGACGACAAAGACACGCTTGTATCCGTCTTGTCGTTCACATACTTTGCGAAACAGCTGTGATTTCAATTTTTCATAAATACGGCGTGATTTTCCGCTGACCACGGAACAATGCTAATCTTTTTCTGAGTGGAACTTCAATCTTCTTTTTTACTACATTCCTGTTTTAATCAACTTCAATGTAGCAAAAATTCTTAAACGAAAAATCTTAACATTATTGCTTCTCATTTATGTCAGAGGAATTTCAACAAGTGAACGGCTCACGTCATATCGTCCCATGGCAGTCAGAGCGCGTCGATACAGAGGTTAAAATATACCTTCATTTTTGTTGTTCAAGAAATGGAGGAGGGTAAGAATGAATCCATCCACCGGGTATTTCGTTATCAAACTTCCAGTTCAGTCACCATTAGTGTTGAGCCAAGATTCAAATTCGAATTGAATCTACGCATATTCAGGACTCGAATAATCGGGTCCACGCCAATTAGGTTTTTTCTAGTTGACGCCTAGGTTATACACTTTCGCTCTTTTCTATTGTTTTTGCACCCAGTTACATTTGCATTGGCATCAATGGAGAATTTCGCCCATAAATTTGCTTCAACGTAAAGATTGCACCCATGGACATTTGCACTCGCCCACAAACGATTATAGCCACATGCACTTGCATCCCTGGACATTTGTACCCACGTACATATATATGCATAAACGAATTGTATGTTGAAGCAATTTATTTGTATTTTCGGTTTACGCACAAACACAGTTTGCAGACTCAATACGTTCAATAAATGTATTGTTGAAACGAAAATGGGGCAAATATAGATTGAATACATGTCTACTCATAGTCATCATGAATACAGCATAATGCAAAGAACTCCTCCCCTTCTGTTTGGGTGAACTAACTTTTTGAAATTGCTATTCTATAACTAATTATTAAATTTAGTTTTCAATAAAAAAGGGTTTATTGCACATCAATATCTAATTACCAATTAGAATTAGTTGAATAGTTAGCAAACTCTCGATATCCAAATTCAGCGTGAATTCGCAATAAATTTTAGAAACAAAATATTCAAAATAAAATGTTTTTTAAGCATTTCTGCTCATTAAAACTCTTCAACACCCTCGAAGGTTTTAACTTCGAGAAAAAATGTTTGTTTTTATTGGGTTTCCAAAACTTATTTTATTCATCACGTTTAGGTATATATTAGTCTGCATACGAGGGCCACGAGGAATATTTGTTTTTATCGAGTTTCCAAAACTTATTTTTTTTCGTCACTTTTAGGTATATATTAGTCAACATACGAGGGCCACGGGGTCAATTCCAATGTTGAATTGGCCTCTGAGCTTTGAAAAATGCGACGTTTTGTCGGTGGAATAATAGTGAAAATAATCAGATGTAATCAGGGATCAGATAAAATTGAAACACAAGATGTCAAATGATACAAGCTCCTGTACTCTTGGAAACTCAAGTCTATTCTCATTCATTTTCCGGCACTTATCCAACAAATATATATTTCTGTCGAAGGTATTCTACCAGTCCATCTAATCCAGGGTCGTCCAACCCGTGACCCGCGGGCCTCATGTGGCCCGTCGAGGAGTTTCGAGTGGCCCGCGCTGTATTTTCGAAATAAAAAAATTTGATTAAAACTTCTATTTTTCGAGTGATGTAGTTAATATGAAGATTTGATACAAACAATTTGTTTATTTTCCTGAAATGCGCTCTGCTAGCCCATCCCCAACTGGAAGAAATCGATACATAAATAGTAGCTTACACACTTGGGCAGAATGGCAGTTTTAATGACCTCATATTTGGCAGCACGTACTCGTACAAGCAAACAGTGCGAAAAACGGTGCCAAACTTCACACTAAAATGTCTACGTGTAGAAAAAACTTTGTTGACTTTACTGTATCTTCGTTTTTTTTATTGTTCTTATTATTGAGAAAGTTTGGTGCGAGGTTTTTTTTTTATTATTAATTTTTAGTCAGTGTAGCAAACTAGAATATAATTACCATGTTAAGTGGCCTGCGCAATTATTAGTAAACTAAATATGGCCCGTCGGCCAAAAAGATTGGCCGACTCTGATCTAATCCCTTCGAAACTGCAAAGAAGATAGATAGCTACAGCTATGTATAGCTTATGGAAATACACTCCTCAAGATTTATTTGCATATGCCATATATAGGCTATTGCTTGTTGGTCTACAGAGGTTTTCCGTAGTTCTGATCCCAGGAAGATTTTCTACTGGTTAACATATTCCAAAATCGTTATTTTGAATAAAAAATGCAAGCACTTATAAGTTCTGATAGAAATTTCCGCATAGTTCACCGCAGGCATTCCATGACTAATTTTGACTACATCACCTAAACTAACACTCTTCAGAAATGAAAAATAAAAATGATCATTTGGGTTATTTGATTTATACGTAAATTTTGGAAATACAACTAAAAACTGACAAATATCATACAAAACCATGACAACGAACTAATGTTAAACCAGCATACCTGAAAATCTTCCCGAGTGAAAAGTGCCCATGGCTGCTAAAATTGTAATAAGTATAACTTTATTTCGATAATCAGCCTAACAGACGATAAAATAATAAATAAAAATACATAACTAAAACCTAATTATGAAATCAGGAGAGCAAACAAAAACCCTAAGTAAGATTTAAAGCGTACAGAATTCAAGTAGGAAGTTTTTGCCAGAAGAAGCGGTATGTGTTCACTTACCTGAAATAACTAAATCAATTCACACACAATCACACGTACACACCAGGAAGATGATAAAAATTAAGAAAAACACTAGAAACTTGGGATAAATTAGTTGCTAGTACTTGGCCGGATTCGGCCCGTGGAATAATATAATCCGGCCCGCGACGCTTCACTGAATTATAGTAAAAAAACAGCTGTTTTTACGATTATATTTTCCACGTAACAGAATTTATTGTGAGACACGTGTAGACTAAATTATATTATAATCAGTCAAATTGCAACAAAACATAGAAAAGTTGATGCAAGGGCAAAGGGTTAAATGGCGCAGAAAATATTCAAATGGAATTTTTTTAGAGGCAATGCAATGAGGAAATGAAGCTAAATTCTATTTGAGAGATGTATCACTGCTTGATTTTTAGTATAAAAAATATCATTCGTTCGGTTTTCAACCCGCCAATGACTTGCAACCTCTAATTTTGGCCCACGAGAGACAAAAGGTTGACCCCTGGTTTAAACGTTTTCCATACCATTGTTCAGGCAGTTGCCTGTTTATTTTGCGTATGGAATTAGGTAAAACCTCTGGAGTTCAGGTGAACCTTCGTGCCGCCGCAAAGAGTCGAGTATCTTCTCGCAGATAATTATGCTCCGCGGGATTCGAACCTGCGAACCCACATGAGTTACTCTGAATTTAGTCAGTGCCTGAACAACCAAATCGCTGAACAACAACTACGCTTAGTGCGATGCGCCACACCACACACAAACAAAGTACATCAAACTAATAACAAAACAATACTTACCGTATTTTCCCGAAATTACGCCTATCTCGCGAATAAGCCGACTCCCTAATACCAGCTTCAAAATAGTGAATTTATAAAAATTCGCATATACGCCGTTTCTACAAATCGTAATGGAAGACAGCACTTTGCGGATTACTGTCAACATAAAAGGAATTAAATCAGCGCCGACTTGAAGTACCGAATGTATGACATGAGAACATTTTTGATTGAAAATATTTTACAATCCTTATTTTATATTAACGTAGTCGAGATATCCTGAGCGGCAACGGCAATAAATTTGGTTATTTTTCGCAAGTCTTCTCAAACATGATTTGTGTAAGCTTCATATATGGGCTGATATATTTTATAATGTATGCCAAAGTGTCTGCCGATTATTTAATTGACTTTGTATACCAGCTGTTATTTGTGTTAATCCTTTAAAAACAAAAACGTGGGAAGCACTTCCTGCCCGATATCGGCACCTCAGAAAGAAAACGCTACCACGAGATAACGTAATTGATTTATGACCCTTCCGTTTTGCTGATTCAGGAAAAAAACGGAAAACAGCTGTTGCCTAACCCATGGACGTACAGCAATATTTATCACACCATATTCATATGTTATTTCAATTTTTCAGTTAAATGGTTGTTCAAAATAATTGAAATTACAGTTTTATTGTTAAGAATTAATGCTGTGACTGTGAGTATTATTCTACCTGATTCTTACTTGTAAATTTATGTTAATAACGTCTATATTGCTTTTCAATGCGCGGTGATTTGTATTAATGAAGGGATAAAACAGAAGGTATCAGCATAAAACAATTACTTTTAAATCGAATGTTGTATTAACACATTCTTATAAATCGCTGATTCGGAAGTTGCTATTAAAAGGATTTTCAAACGTCGTAGAATGAATGTCGTTTTGTGACATATTTACAAGCTCCATTATTTCGATGTTGCTCCGTAATGCGATTTGAATAATTTTATTTATCATTTAATTTTAAATATTGTGTCATCACCTCAACAGCGTAAGCGATGTCATGCATATGTAACGGTAAATATTTCAATTATAACGGAGATAAGAGTCTTTATCAGCGCAACTGAAAAGGATAACATATCGTAAAGGTGATCAAAATGAGGGCGCCGTTACTTGCGTTGTACCGCGATAGTGCACTAAATGATAACGTTTCACCACGAAACGCTGGCCGTAAATCGACGCCAATCAGACTGTACAAGCGTCACGTGTTTAACAACCAATCACAGACTGTACGAGCCATCAGCTGTATGATGAGACAATCACACCGGCACAAGCGATTGTGTGTGTGCGT